AAAACTTAAAACATTTTGTCTGGCGAGGACCCTAAGGAACAAAGACCTTACTCTGTTAAAAAACTGCTAAACAGCTCAATTACAACTGTTGCACATCAAGCAGCTAAAGTTTTACTCAAGTGGAGTTGGAGTGGTTGCTATAGTTGAAAACAAATGATTTTCAGGGTCCACTAGATTTTCGGTGCAAGGCCAACCCTTCTTAGCTACTCCATGCCTATGGTTCTAAAGAGCCATAGGGTAAACTGTTAGCTTGTTTGTCACCCCAATGTTATAAAAACTTGGATTGAAAATTGCTGTATTAAATCAATAACATCTTAAATGCAAATCATAAATAACAATATAGTAAAGCATCCTTTTACACTAACAGCGCAGGGCCACATTTTCTTATAGTTTAGTAAAATTCATATTTCACAACGTAAAGAATATTAATAAAGTCTCAAATGTACTACAAAAACAGAAATTGTTAATATTACGTTTCTAGTGTACTGTATGTAAAACAATAAAAAGGTATGTAAAAGTATAAATAACCAAAGCAAAGTATAAAAACAGAAGTCATATAAAATCTGTAATATATATTATATACGGTATTACAAAGCAGTCTTTACTATGTACCTATTCTAGCAACACAAATAACTAAAAACAAAAACATAGTAAACGAAAATTCTAGTAACTACAACATACACTGTTCTAGTTACGTACTTGTATTGTGTGTCACCTGTTGTTTGATAAACGTTTTATGGTGTTAAAACTTTTATTTACACATAGTATTTTCTTTTAACTTGGAACACTCAAATAAAGTGCAAAAACGTTACTAAATGTTCATCTATAGAACCACGATAAATATATATTATAACCAACAGTTGTATATTTAGAATTACATATACTAAGAACTTATTTTTCAGACTTTTATGTCACTAAAATCCATATATTTTTGGTTTTTGTCATTGTTATTTGTTATTACACACTTTGACGCCACCTTATTGACATCGTAAAGATAAGAGATGCCAGAGGTGACAGTGACAGTGACAGCAGACAGTTGACATAACAGATGACACAGACCTTAGAGTAATTACATCATAGATATAGTATATACTATATCTATGAATTACATACATAACACAGACGTCAAAGATGAAGTTGATTTTGAATATTTGAACACATGAACAAATGTATACTGTTCTGTTTTTAGGAGCAAATTACATGAAAAGATTATATTATACATTTTCAGTAAAAGAGTAAAGAGCACTGGTTTTTATACCTTTTCCATTTCTAATTTTCTGTATACCTGCAACGCATCTTGTTTTGATTAAATCTAATCCACATAATTTAAACCCCTTACTTTAAATCCGCTCTTCACATAAATCCAAAAAATCCGCGGCTGCTTAATAACTTTCGGCACCTAACACGAGGTCATACTTAGCACAGTAAGTAGTGTTTTTGTTGGTTTAAATAACTCGCAATATAATGATTAATATTTTAATCCCTTTTAATAAAAGAGCATTTTAGATATTACTCAAGTCTTAAGTACTTTCCGATGGAAAAATGCATTTAGTCTTGATTGGAAATTTTGTCTCAGAAATAGGATTCATGAAAATACATTAAATATTTTACATTCTTTATATTTTTCATTTTCTTTCGCATCTACCATGGGGAGTGCTCTGAGGAATTGTTCGGATTAATCCCAGCCGCCAAATTTCACGAACGCACATCGCGGCAGAACTCCCGATACCATCCACACCATCTGGATGATTGGCGGTCCACCACTGTGCGATTTAGAAGATGTTTTCTTCCTCGCACGACCTCCTTGTGGAATCGATTACCATCAGCGATTTTTCCGGACCGATACGACTTAGGGACCTTCAAGAAAAGAGCGTACTCCTTTTTAAAAGGCCGGCAACGCATCTGCGATTCCCCTGGTGTTGCAGTTGTTCATGGGCGGCGGTAGTCACTTACCATCAGGTGAGCCGCATGCTCGTTTGCCCCCTCTCCTATAAAAAAAAAATTCTTTTTTGATATAATAATAATAACGTTATAATAATAATGAACATAACGTGAATTTTATCGATATAATTATATCCCGACCAGGTTAAAAAAACTTGGAATGCTTGCATCTTTCGCAATTTATGTGGTAGTATCATAGATATAGTCAGCCTTACACGTCAGGGCCAGCCCCAACTCGTCGTGGGTCGTAATGTATTTGTGCGTAATCGGTCATATTATTCGTAGTTTCGTAACCACTTATTTTTGTAACTAGATATTGCAATAGGCAGCCTTCGTTATTTTATTATAGAACAAGAAACTTTTTTATTCAATATAGATTATAAATAATACTTATTAAAAGTAAGTATGTAATGAGGGCTAATAATCTTCCACTCACCAAATGTCGCTAGTTGACACTGAGGTGAAGTTTTTGTTACACAATGTAACTTAATTGAGAAGTTAGTTTTAAATAAACGTTTATCAGTTTCTAGAGATATCAATACACAAAACAATGTCTCAGTGGTTTGTACTTTAATTTTTTGCACATTTTTAACTCTTTTTTACTTTTTCTACTTTTATGAATATATAAGGTTTTTTTCTCAAACTGTAAAAAATCTCAGGATTTTTCAATGGAAATCAGGCCTTTTCTCCGGACATTTGATTTTTTCATCTGGTAACCCTACGTAAGAGGCGACACAGGAAAATTGAATCAGGTATTGGGAAGGAGCATCTTCCTGATAACAACTCAAAATAATAACTTGCCAACCCTACTATCAACCGGGGCAACTATGGCAATATCCCCCTATGAGGCAATCTATGGGGGAGGTGTTTATTTATATTATTTTTCTATATCTATTATTAGTACGTATGCGAATATATTTTATGTTTATATAAAATATATTTCAACCAACTTTTACTTGTTTACTTCTCTCCGGGTTGACTGGCAAAGAATGCTATAAGGAAAATTGTAATGATGTAACACATTAAAGATTAAATAAATAAATATTTTTACCAAAAATCTTGCGAGATTTGAAACACGGACAAAACTGACAAAATAAATGGTCATTGATAATTTTTATCTTATAAAACTTATGATTTAATAAATGAAATTAAAAACTCAGGCGAAGCCGGGGCATTATGCTAGTCAACCATAAATCCCTAATATTATAATAACCATTTTTATACAAACTGTTTAATAAAGTTTGTAAACTTTGCGGAGGTAAACTCTTTTTTTTTTGTTGTAAAAGCGTATACATCGCCCCAAGAATGAATTACTAACTCGGAAGAGTTGAGTAACTGGTACTATATTAAGTACTTTTGTGTTATGATTAAAAATATTACGATTTAATGAAACAGTTACCTACATGTAATGTACTCTAAAATAGGTATGTTCTTTATATAATTTTATCAGATTGACCTTTCTGAGGACTGTATGCAAACATTTATTTTTTAATAAAATTATTTTTTGTATTTTGAATTAAACACCTCGAGAAAATTGTGTTAGTATGGTAGCACGCTAGTACTACTTAATAATTTTTATACTTACAATAGTTTTACTGATTATCTTTAGGATGAAACGCTTACTCGTACGTAAAATAATAGTTTGATTCTGGTCCACCAAACTACGTATACGATTATCAACCTAGTTTACTAGTAAGCAGTTACTGAAACAGATTATGTAAAATAACGTCCACCTCATGTCTTAACAGCATTCTTAAAATGATAAGCCTGTTCCTTAGCATGTTAAGACCAGCCCCAAAAGCATTCTTAAGAGCCTTATTGGTGACCATAACTTGGTTGATACCAATCTTTACAAACTCGAGCATAGACGCAGAATTCCACGCATTCGAACCAAATGGTTTGTTTCGTATTTCGTTATGCGTACGACAAAGGAGTGGAATAATTTGCCGTCATCTGTCTTTCCATCCGATTACAATCTGGGTGTCTTTAAGACAGGAGTGCATGGGCTTCTGTTACGCTAAGGTAGTGCGATTCACCATCTAGGGCTTTTCCATTTTCCACCAGGCGAGATTGTAATCAAGCATCATTATCATCATTATTACAGCCACTTCACAAGTCTACTGCTGAACAAGGGCTTCACACAAGGAATACTACTACTATACACTGTCCTGGGCCACCTACTAATTTTAGTTTTTAATATAACTAATAGTAGTGTGTAGGTATATAATTAGCTTAATGCATAAGAACCACGTGGTCACCATCTGATCCTCAAAAATAATGGAATCCATTATAAAATGCCAGTTCATGAGGTACCTTTAGAACCACTTCTCTTCACGCTTCTTTCACTACATGAAATCTATGCGTACATGTTCTTCGAGTATTTTCTGGAGGTATAATATATCGGAAATATTCTATATTTAATCTACATTTAATCATCACGTAACTCTACGTTAATTAGCCATAAGAGGCGACTGAAAGAAACTGAAATAGAGGAGGGACAGAAGCATCTTCCTGATAGTGATAATAACTCAAAAATAATACAAAAATTGTTCCAAACCCGTTCACCAAGGGTTGTTGCTTAATAAAATAATCCCTCCTTCCCCTAAAGAGGTAATCAATGCAGGAGGCCTATGTTCAACAATGGTCTTATGATGAGCTGCTATGAATCAATGAACGAATTCTACATATATGTACAAAATATTGTCCAATTTTAATGCTTGTCTGACGGTTTTTATCTCCCGGGAGTTACAACTTCTTGCTTCATATTTAAAAAAAAACTTATAAAGATAATCTAAACTTTTTGCTTACTTGAATAATTACTACAATAAAAACATTGAGTCGCTGATACTGCCTGTATTTCATTATATCTAAGAGCATAAACCATAATAAATCGAAAAAAAATGTAAATGTCAATCACTCAAAACAACTTTTAAGAAAAAAAAATGCCAACATGAATTTTTTGTAGAAAAATTACATGAAAAATAAATACGATGTGGCTAAATTATATATAATGTAACTGTCAATAGGATTTATCAATTCTTAAAAAGTATTTCTGTGATATGCCAGGGCCAGATATAAAAGAGGATAACAATGTACTTGGCGAGATGTCTACAGAACCCACGGCGACTGTACACAGTGGCGTTGAAGCTAAAACTGACAGAAAACTAACAGTGTTAGAAACTCATGGATATGTACTTGGAAGAACTATAGGTTCTGGTTCTTACGCTACAGTAAAGGTACACTTTTGAGTCGTGGCCTTGTTATACATGAAAAGCGTTTAATATTCAATGATTAGGCTATATGATATCTGTGGCTAAACGCTTGATCAGTATGGTACACCTGATGAGTGATGCTGCGGTCTAAGCTGATTATAACACTACTATACTACTACTACTACAAGATAAACATTTTCTCTTTTTACCTAAAAGTGCCAATCATCATATTAACTGTGTAAAGAAAACGGCGAATTGTATTATTCATAATCATGATGTGCACACAGAACATGGAAAAAATAACAACCCCAATGTTTATTGGTCTTGTTAACAATATTTTGTTACTGATTTTGTCACCTTGTCATAAGCCTGTGTTAACTATCGGTGGGCTTAAATTTTTCCCCGGTTAGCCGAGAAATTTTCATAATCGCTACGCTTACTAGTCTGTATAGTTTATTTAGATATACATAGCTATCCATGAGATAGGTAGTTATTCCTTTCTCACGATCCAGGAGTTTTTAGGATCTCTATTTTTTAACTATTATAAGCTAGAGCCTGACTACTATCCTACATGATGGTAAATAGTGACGTAGCCGAATTGGTAAAACGCACTTGTTGCTATTGTTTTTTCCTAGCACCCCACGGAAATCGCTTTCACGTGCAGAACCTATTATGTTATATTATGTACTAATTTTTTGGGCGAGGTACTTAGCAACACACATGTTGAGGTTGCAGCAAGCCAGTCGCAAACAATAACCACTTCAAACTTTACTTCACTACATAGGCTTCCCCCATAGATTACCACAACGTATGGTCTGGAGCCACCTGCTTCCATCGACTACCTTCATGTTTCATCAGATCTTCACTTCAAATAGTGGGGGTCGCCCAACACTGCGCCCATCGAGAACCTTTCTTCACGAACACGGCACACTGTCGATCTCTAACGTTGTCTATTAGCTTCTTGAGGCAGAAAGATCTTTGGCGAACACTCTGGATCGCTGGTTCCGGTCAGTTTTTTGTTCATTACGAACTATATTGAAACTGCGTAAAACTCGTGGCGTATATTAAGAAATCTGTCTGTTCAATGGCCTGTAAGCTGACGCATCAGCCATTAGATTATTAGTGTGATCAGAGAGTTTTTAGCCCGCGATAGTTTGCTGCTGCTGCGTGAACAGTTTTCACGCGCTTATCATTGATATCACCCACCATATTGCAATATTCTAGGCACTGGAAAAGTATTGTAGGTCGAGCTGAAAGCCATCGGGATTCTGAATTCGGTATCTCTTTAGTTAAGATTCAGTGTGCCTCTAACTATTCGGTGAGTGCTGCCTGTTTTAGATTTAATCTTTGCTATATTAAGTGTGACATTCTATGAAAACGTCCTCTATAAAAATTATAAGCTGACAAAAAACCGTGTTTTGTCGGTGTAAGAATATCCACTACCTATATCGTCCCGTCGATGTCATAAGAGGCGACAGGGGGAAACAATCAAGGAGATGGGTAGCAGCATCTTCTTAGTAATAACTAAAAAATAAAAAAAAACGCGGTTGCCAACCCATCTGCCAAGCGTGGCAACTATGGCAAATATACCCCCCATGAGTAAATCTATGGGGATAACAAAGTTAATGTTTAGCCGTGGACTTTGGTAGGCTTTAACGGGAAAAATTTAAAATCTCCAGCACGCGATAACCGCTGTTGCTCAGTATACAAGCGCTCGAACACTAGGGCTAGTCCTGTGACAGTTTCTAGCTGCAATTGTAAAGCCTTTAAGTTGCTTACTTAGTCTGTAGACTCAACGTCGCTTCACGTTTATGAACTCAATTAGTGATACAGTAGAAGCAACGTTGCTGCAATTCCAGAATATAATCTGCAATGTGTTGCAAAATAACATAGCAGCAAAAGTATCGCTGGCAATATTGCTGAGCTATTCTCAGCAAGATTTCAATCTAGATGTATTTTATGACCCATTTACGCGAACGTATACATTTTTGTTGAACTTGAATTTCTTTCATTCTACGATGCTTTCATGCTACGATTTTTCACGTAGGTGGCATCAAGCGACAGACACAACTGTCAAGTGGCAATAAAAATAATAAGCAAGTTCCAAGCGCCGGGCGACTACTTGAAAAAGTTCCTACCAAGAGAAATAGAAGTTGTGAAAGGTTTAAAGCATGAAAATTTAATACGTTTTCTACAAGCAATAGAAACCACTCACAGGTTAGAAACTTTTATCCCGTACCAACATAAAGTAATGCGTATTTCTCATGATACTTTTAATATTTGTGCAAGAAGTTTTGAATAACCTATTTAACTAATGATAAATTTAAAAATATATATTTATGGTATAAATAAATTGTTTATGTCTCCCTTTTCCTCATCAGCAGCGCGTTAAAGGCCATTTCTTTCATGGCAAGAAATAAAAAGTGCGATAGAGATGGATATTATTCTGTCTGGTCTGAAGGGTATATTTTTTTTATAGGATAAGGGTGACAAACGAGCACACAGTCCACCTGATGGTAAGTGGTTACTGTGGCCCATAGACATCTACATCTACACTCACCATACGGAACACAGCAGCGTTAAGCTGCTATTTTACGCTGGTATTCTGTGAGAGCGTGGTCCTTCCCCGGTCGAGCCGACCCATTCGTGCTACAACCATAATATAGCTGCAGCATGGCTCTACCACGTATAAAATACCTACACACAGTATGATTACCAGCTGCGAGGCATTCCATCTTAGTTCTGAGAGGTGACAAGTGACAACGCAACTGTAGCCTACTTAGAGACTTAAAACCGAGGCCCTATGGTTCCATAAATTACCACGGGGTAGGGAACCATCCAACTCGTAGGTCCGCGTGGGTGAGTCCGAAGTTAGAGTGGGGAGGTACATGAAGTACCTAGGCCTACACCTGGACAGTCGCTAGGGCTTCGAAGAACATTTCGAGCGCCCCGGATCGAAGGGATGGTGGGTGCTATGCATAGACTGCTGCCTAATCTAAGGGGAACGATGTAGGAAGTACGCCACCTCTATGCGGGAGTTATACGTATGGAGCGCCTGTATGTGCAAAAAGGCTGGACATCCGACGCTGTAGAACCAAAATCTACAGTGTCCAGCGGAGGATGGCCATACGGATGGTACGAGGATACCGCAATATATTCTTTGAGGCGGCGATAATCCTGGCTCGTTTTCAGCCACTATATATACTGGCGGAAATGAACACGAGGGTGTACGTACGAATCCGTGCCCTCCGCCAAAGCGGTGGTAGTGAGCCAGAAGAGGCGCTCGAATTAATTAAACGGCAGAAACGACAAAATTCTCTGCCGACATGGTGCACTCGACTGGAGGAGCGTTATGAACGCAAACGCGTCATTGGAGCAATCCTGCTGGTCTTTGAAGCCTGGATGCAGCGAGGAACGGGTGCTTCGGTGATTATCAGTGTAAGATCGGACGCGAAGCGACGACGAACTGCTACCACTGTGGTGGACGGTACCAGGACTCCGCTTCCCATACGCTCGCACTATGCCCAGCGTGGGAACGGGAGCGAACGATCCTGGTGAACCGCATCGGACGGAACGTCTCCCTGCCAGCAGTCGTATCGGCGATGCTGAGCGGGAATTTCGGCTTGGAGGGCCGTAGCCACCTTCTGTGAATCTGTTATGATTCTGAAGGAGACTTCTGAGCGGGATCGGGAGAGGACGGATCCCGCTCGGAGGCGACGTCGCCAAGGTGTTCGTCACGGCCCGTCTCTTGAAAATGGTGTTTTCCTACCAGAAACGGGGCCTCCGGGGTTGCAGACGCTCGGGGCGGGGGCCTCGAACGCCTTGTTATGTAACACCCGAGGAGGACGATGACTTGGAAGTGGTCTGGATACATCGTGTTAACACTGCGAGGGAGCTGGGGGCACTTTAGTGCTACCCCGGGACGTGTTATTAGTGTTATTAGTAAAGCGTTGGAGGGGCCCCGGTTGCATTCCGAACGGAGATCTCAGGATCCCTCTTATACGCTGATGGTTACCACCGTAGGGTTTTAGTCGATATGAGTCCGGCATAAGCTTCTCGTTGTCCCCGCAACGAATGGAATCCATAAGGATTAAAAAAAAGCCTACTTAGCTTGAAGTTGGCTTCAGGTGACCATGGACTGCAACAGCCACTTACCATCAAGTGGATTGTACGTTTGTAGTGTCACTTCGATTTCATTATAAAAATCATTTCTGTACTTAAAAATCACAAATATTAAACCAAGTGCAATTAAAATCCAAGAACACTTAGCGGTCGGGTGCGCAGAGCACTGACTCACACTTACGTAGTATCTTATCTAATCTGTGCTCACAGTAATGAAATCGAAATAAATATTTTACTATAATATTATTTTCTACTACATCCAAACCTAAACCGTCACTACTCCAAACCTTGTAATAGCGTTGTATGAATATTATCCACTGATTCGTTGTGGTGTCGTAAGATGTGACAGAGGAAAATGATACAGGAGATATGCAACAGCATCTTCAGCTAATCCGGGGCGGATGCATGTCAATGTTATATTAAGCCTCGTCTCCACCAAGGTTTTGTTACCAACCCTTGTGTTGCCAACACGTGTTGGTAACAAATGTTTCTGTAATGAGGGCATCCACGACTTTTTCTGCCACCAGGGCGGCGCCACTGGAAAGGGAGGTATAACATTTGACAGATTTCATAGCGGTGAAGTTAATTTATTTGGATAATGTAAGACTTTTTGTTTCTTTTTGTACTATTGGATATATTTTATATTAATAACATTCAAAATAAATATACCAAATTACAGATATTCATAAAAGTAGAAAAATTAAAAAAAAGTTAAAAATGTACAAAAATTTTAAAAAGGAAACCACTGACGCATTATTTGTGTATTAATATAATAATCTAGAAACTGATAAACATTTATTAAAAAACAACTTCTCAATTAAATTACATTGTGTAACAAAAAACTTTACCTCAGTGTCATCTAGCGACATCTGGTGAACGAAAAATTATTAGCCCCCATTACCTAGTGTTGGCAACAAAACTTGAAACAATGTCGGGAACCGTGTTTCCATTTTCGACGGCAACATCAAAGGAATACGCTTGTTGCAAACATTTGTTCCCTCGGTGGAGACGCTTGTTGGAAATATTTGTCGGCAACATCGGAAACAAATGTTGGTAACTTTTGTTGAGTTGAAAACATAAATGTTGTCAACATTTTGGTGGATACGCGGCTTTATGTTCAATAGTAGAATTTTGATAAGCTGTAATGATGATGGTGATGACATCGTCCAAGTCCACATATCTGGTCTTTTAAATGTTTGTTTAGCACATCAGTTATGTTTGAATTACATATTATATAACATGCAAAATGTACTCTTATTTTTATTGTTCAACCGACTTCAATAAAAATTATTAAGGATATCTCAAAAACTACTGGTGAGACCTTGATCAAATTTATATGGGACCACATGAGAAGTACTAGATTTTAAATAAAAAAATAATCATCAAAATCGGTTCACCTAGAAACATTAAAATACAGTCGAATTTAGTACTTTCTCCTTTTTGAAGCCGGTTAAACAAAAATAATGTGTTTATGAAGTAACATAGTAAATTTACTTTCAAAACGATACCGGTCTTATTCAGAGTATACATTGTAATGGAATATGCCGAAAATGGCAGCTTGTTGGATATCATACGCAAGGATCAGCATATAGACGAAGTACGAGGCCGCCGTTGGTTCCGGCAGTTGGTAGAAGCTGTAGACTATTGCCATGATAGAGGAGTTGTTCATCGGTTAGTAAATAATGTAATAATAGTACCTAAATCTCGTACATTACACTGTCACTGTTCCCGCGACTTTCGGTCTGACATTTAAAAATGGTTACTATAACTGACGTATTAAAGTTTACCATACTTTCATAAATGTCTTTATGTACAGCAGCCTTTTGACTTGAACATCTTCTTAACCGATAAAAAATAGACGAATTTCGGTTATATATTTTCGTTCTATTATTATACCATTAGTTTACCCGTTTTTCCGATAACCCGCCATTAGAACAGCTATTAATATCCTCTCAAAATAAAGTTCCAAATTAAATTTGTCGACATATCGAGTGACGTGCAGTTTCGTGGTCACTTGGAAGAGAAGGCCAAATTGGCCTCTAAAAAGCTTGGCGTGCTCAGCAGAGCGGGACAGTATTTCATGCCGGCACACCGCCTGCAACTTTACAAGGCGCAGGTTCGGCCTCACATGGAATACTGTTCCCATCTCTGGGCAGGGGCTCCCCAGTGCCAGCTCCTTCCACTTGACCGCATCCAGCGCAGAGCGGCTCGAATCGTCGACGACCGAGCCCTTTCCGATCGGCTCGATTCATTGGCACTGCGAAGAGATGTTGCATCTCTTTGCATTTTCTTTCGCATCTACCATGGGGAGTGCTCTGAGGAATTGTTCGGATTAATCCCAGCCGCCAAATTTCATGAACGCACATCGCGGCAGAACTCCCGATACCATCCACACCATCTGGATGATTGGCGGTCCACCACTGTGCGATTTAGAAGATGTTTTCTTCCTCGCACGACTTCCTTGTGGAATCGATTACCATCAGCGATTTTTCCGGACCGATACGACTTAGGGACCTTCAAGAAAAGAGCCTACTCCTTTTTAAAAGGCCGGCAACGCATCTGCAATTCCCCTGGTGTTGCGGTTGTTCATGGGCGGCGGTAGTCACTTACCATCAGGTGAGCCGCATGCTCGTTTGCCCCCTCTCCTATAAAAAAAAAAAAAATCCATAAGCTTAAATGCACTTTTACTTTTATATTGTCTTTTCTGTTTTGTAAAAAGGGGGTTATTAAATTTGCCGTTTTTTTTTCTTATAGTACCGCTTTTCAAAATTATCTCTAATGATTTCCTTAAATACACCTTTGTATTCATTCAATCAATTTATTAAAAAAAATTAAGATAAGATTTCGCTAAACGTGATAATCTTTTTATCATATTTTATATCCGACGTTTCAAATGCTTACGTTCGGCACACCTGGTGCCCCGTGGTACGGCGGTGGTTGAGAAATTCCGAGCATAGCCATTTCCGTCGGAAGTTGAAAGACTTAAGCTTCCTCATACGAACAGCAGTGAAGGCCTATGTTTTAGTTCTGTATGCCATCACTAGCAACACGCACTGGTTGTACATTTTCGTCTTGAAATTCTGAGGATTAGGTGGCTCAGGACCGTACCTTGAGATAATACATGGAGAAGGCTTATGTTCAGCAGTAGACTTGAGATGGGCTATAGTGATGTGATGATATAAAAGGGGACGCTGTGTGTACCAAAGTAAATTTAAAAAAGTGACAAATTAACAAACCTCTAATTTATTTTATCCTAGGGACATAAAATGCGAAAACCTCCTTATGGATCATTGCCTAAACATCAAACTATCAGACTTTGGATTCGCTAGAGGACACATGAAGCCAAAGAACGGCGTCTATGCTTTAAGCGAAACCTTCTGTGGTAGTTACGCATACGCCTCACCAGAAATTCTCAAAGGAGTCCCATACAGACCACAAGACTCCGATATCTGGAGTATGGGTGTTGTGCTATACGCTATCGTGTACGGACGCCTGCCTTTCGATGATACAAATTATACGCAACTACTCAAGGTGAGTAATTTATTGTTTGTATTGGTAATTTAATAATTTTGTTTTATCCTCACGTAAGAATCTACTCTAATAATATTGTAGCCTCTCTCACAACCTCTCTCACGGCTTACGTTCGCAGTACCAAACGTCTTGCACCTCACACGCGGCTCCTCGTTGCCGGCCTTGTTATTTCACTTTCGATATATATGTTGACCGTATATTATATCGTCACTGGAAAGCCAATACTACTTAGGCGCCATTTTCGCCAAAATGAGTTATATATATCGTTGGATTGAATTTTTTTTTCTGCGTCGATTGGTCTATATTTCGTGATGATCTGAGCACTTTTTTGGCGCTTAAGCACTGCAAAAGTATGGTATTTATCATAAAGTAAGCAGGGCTTTCTCCTCAAAGTCTTACAGACATTGTCTTATAGATAATAGGAGATACAGGTGAGCCCATCACCACGCCATCTACTTGCTTGTAGAACTCTTCCTTCCACAATGGGTAGCCAGATGTAAGGCAGTGTCTGAGTAATACTGCATATTCTACGGGCATGTTGTTTGCCTCCAGCCTTCTAGTAACAATCGAGATGCAGTCTGCAACAGGTAAGCATGTGAATAGAGACTGCACATCAAAACTAACCACAGTTTCATTGTCTGTCAGATGTAGGTCTTTAATCTCGCTGACAAAATGGTAGGAATCCTTTGTGTGTGCTCTTGTATGTCCCTTGAGCGGTGAGAGTATTTTCGCTAAGTGCTGAGCCAATCTGTAAGTTGGTGAATCGATTTGGCTCACTATGGGACGTAGTGGAGCATTGGGCTTGTGTATTTTTGGTAACCCATACAACTAAGGTCACTAGTTGTTTTAAGTGTGTTATTTATACGCTTCGAAAAGTCTGCAGTCTGTGAACACGTACAGGATTGCCCCCGTCACTACAGTAGATTTGATAGACCACAAATCCTCGCTAAAGAACACCGATTCCTTCCAAGGACGATTCGCGAGGCTATTGAAATCAAAAACATCCTTATTTCAATAGAGAAGATGGCTGGGTGCTACCATCTGCAGGGCTATTCACAATCGTCTCGGAAAGCGAAATCGACTCGGATTCGATAACTTCTCGCACCGAAACCAATAAACGCTATTAACATTTAACGTTCGGATAAAGGTCACTTAGATACATCCTATAACTATTGTATCGTCATTTAGTTACATGCATTTACGAATTTTGTAGATAAATAGGCTTTTGTAATTTTTTAGAGTAACGCCTGCACAAAAACATAATGCAATATTTTGGAGTTATCCATTGATATCGAATATAAAAAATATATAATTTAACTATATAATAAATAACAAAAAAACTGAGATATGTCTCGTTTCTTTCGGGTCTGGGTTTTTTTCTATGGGGCGTTCTTTGACGTTTATACTTATACTTATACTTATCTTCACGCACAATCCCTGACGGGGTAGCCAGAGAGAACAGATCGCCAAGTGTCACGATCCTTACATATCTCTTTCGCTTCTTTCAGATTCATTATCTTCTTCATACATGCACGTCTAGGTATCCGAGTACTCTTGACCCTACCCTCTTCGAGCAATTTGCTCACATGGTCTTCGAAAGTTAGTCTCGGTCTACCTCGACACCTTTTAATATTAACTTTCGCGCTATATATTTTCTTCACCATTCGGTCTTCACTCATTCGCTCAACGTGCCCAAACCACCGAAGCACGCCCTTATCAATTTTTGTGATAAGGTCATCTTTCAAACCTGCCATATTGCGAATCTCTTCGTTTCGCTTTCGGTCGGCCATAGTAACGCCGCACATTTTACGAAGAGATCGCATCTCCACTGCATTCAACTTACTTTTATGCTTCTTCTGGCATACCCAGGTTTCGCTGCCATATAACAAAGTCGGTACCAACACTGCGTTATGTATTGCAAGGCGTGCACTCTTCGCTACGCCTTGCCTTTTGACTAACGCAGTCAGGGCACCATTGACTTTGTTCCCGGCAGCGACACGCCTGTCCACATCTAAATCACATCTTCCATCCCGGCTAAAAGCACTCCCCAAGTATACAATTTCATTTACCTGTTCTAGACATTCCTGATTTACCCATATTTCACACTTCGTTCTCTCTTCGTCCCTTTCAAATACCAGAACCTTAGTTTTATTAGCATTCAAACGGAGACCTTTAATTTCACATTCCTCTTTCATACACGTGACTAATGCCTGCAGTTCTGCCTCTGATGGTGCAATAAGCACTGCATCATCAGCATACAGCAGACAATTTACTTTTATATCATCCAATTTCACACCCAAACAGCTATCTTTCAGCTTTTGTAAACAGCTCTCGAGATACAGTATGAACAGCCAGGAAGACATGACACAACCCTGTTTTACGCCCGTTTGGACGCTAAACATGGGTGACAGGTCATGCCCTACCCGCACACAGGCTTTACAGTCACAGTAAAGAGACTGCACAGCCCTTAGCAATCGGCCATCCACACCATACCCCGGCAACAGTTCCCACATTTTCTTCCTTACAACCTTATCAAATGCTTTCTCAAGATCCACAAAAGCACAGAAAATCTTCTGGTTAACAGCCAGAAGCTTTTCCGTGATCATACGGAGAGAAAACATTTGATCCGTGCATCCTCTTCCAGGTCTAAATCCGCATTGTGCCTCCCATAGAAATCTTTCCGATTTCTCTTGCATCCTACGTGTCAAAACCTTCGAGTAAACTTTACTTGCTAAACTGGTCAAGCTGATCGCCCGATAGCACCCGCAGTCAAAATGTGAACCTTTACCTTTATATAAAGGCACAATGACTGCGGATCGCCAATCATCCGGGACATCCCCCGTCCGCCAGCACAAATTGCACAGCAGATGAAAGCTGTCCCAGACGCGAGGCCCACCATACTTGACCATTTTAGCAGTAACTCTGTCTAGTCCCGCAGCCTTACCACATTTCAAACTTCGAATCGCACGTTCAATCTCTTTCATACTGATGACCTCAGTGTCATCGAGGTCCGGGTCTGGCGTGCCAGTCACGGCGTCATCCCCGGATCCCTCACTAAGATCATCACACGCATACATTTCTCTATAAAATTCGCTCCATCGCTGCATGACGTCCGATTTTTCTGAGAGGACGTCATTAGTTCTCGAAAGCACTTTGTTCATTCTTAAGGCCGTCGCACCACTTCGGGTCCTTCCAACCTCTTTCCAGAAGAGTTTGGAGTTCTCCTTAAAGTTGTGCGACAACCTTTCATCCGCTTCCATTCTACACCTTTCACGCACTTCCTCAATCAATGCTTTCGTGTGAACTTTCTGCAGCTTATATCTTTCTTTCATCTTCTCTCTCATATCCTTATCATTACTAGAGGCCAAGTAGTCTAACCATGCTTTCTTCTTCTTCTTTACAGCTTCTTTCACTTCATCATTCCACCATGCATCTCTTCTTTTACTACTGCCTCTTTTTATTGTTCCACACACTTCTTCCGCTGCACTTACCATTCCATCCCTAAGGTTCTGCCATGTTCTTTCTACACATTCGTTTCTGCCATCGATGGTGTCAAGCTTTTCGGCTACCCTCGCATGATATTTGTCCCTAGTATCCGCTTCCTGAAGCTTCCAGCTTCGGATGCGACAGACCGACTGTGGTTCTGTCACTGTCGTCCGGTAGCGCCAACCCGCGAACAGACCCCTAATCTAGTAATCACTAGATAGTGATCCGTTCCCAGGTCAGCACCCCTGAACACTCGCGTATCCATAACCTGTTTTCGCAGTCGGTCATCCACCAGGAACAAATCGATCATACTTCTCTCATTCTTTCTTTCTCTAGTATACATATGGATTTTCTTGTGATTAAACATAGTGTTTGTCACAAGAAGACCCTTTTCCTTGCATACCGCCAGTATAAGCTTGCCAGCATCATTAACCCTTTTATCGCCAAACTTTCCAAGTACCGACTCGTACCCTGGTCGAGCGGTACCAACCCATCCATTCAAATCACCACATACAACAATCCTTTCGTTTCCCCTAGCCAAATCTAGAACTTCTCTTACATTCTCCCAAAACTCCTCCAGCTCAGCCCTGGACGACGAAGCCACCGGCGCATAAACAGCCAAAAGGAATAACTTCGTCAGTCCCAATTTAAAGCGAACCCAGAGAAGTCTTGAGTTCACAAACTTATATTCAGTCATAACATCGACCAACCGAGAAGACAGCAGCACCCCCACTCCCTGGCAGGCGTTCTCGCTCTCCGGGACTCCGGACCATAGAGCAAACGCCCCGCCAGGGAGCTCTTCAGTACCACTGCCCTTCCGTTTGGTCTCCGACATACACACGACATCTAATTCTCTTTCTTTCATTATTTCGATCAACTCATTCGTCTTATCTCTCATGCCTCCTCTAACATTCCACGTGCCAACTCTGCACTCCGTCCTCCACCTTCCGCCGTGTCGGGCTGTGCGTGACGGGTGGCGGTCCCCATCGCCGCTTTGCGCGCTGCATTCCACACCAACGGGGACGAGCTGGTGTGCGTCGCCTTGGGGGGACGCCCTAACCCTCGTTGACATGGGTGCGCAGCTGAGTAGAATTGCAGCCCTGAAAAGGGCTGGCAGGGGTCGCGACGAGCACGCTTCTACAATGACTTATATATATATATATATATATATATGCTGCTTTGTGAAACGAGACATATCTCAGTTTTTTTGTTATTTATTATATAGTTAAATTATATATTTTTTATATTCGATATCAATGGCTAACACCAAAATATTGCATTATGTTTTTGTTTAGGCGTTACTCTAAAAAAATACAAAAGCCTATTTATCTACAAAATTCGTAAATGCATGTAACTAAATGACGATACAATAGTTATGGGATGTATCTAAGTGACCTTTATCCGAACTTTAAATGTGAATAGCGTTTATTGGTTTCGGTGCGAGAAGTTATCGAATCCGAGTCGAATTCGCTTTCCGAGACGATTGTGAATAGCCCGGCTGGTTGGGATCCTAT